CAGAACATGTATATAATCGTTGCAAATTAACACATTGAACTAGGAGTAATGAAACAGGATTCATAATTCATAAATCAGAGAAGACGTATTTTTTTCCACACAAAAACAAACAACAATTCATCATATAATGTTTTCTCACGTTTTCATTTTAGCTCGCCCATTCCCTCTCTCTCATATAATAGTTCCCCTGTTGCTATTCGCGAATATTCGTAGCACAACTTTATTGCTTATTTAATCTGCCTTTGATATAATTTCCAACACTCTTGACAGCAATTGCTACAAAATATCCCAAATCAACATTTTGCGATACAAATTTTTTCCAGCACAAGATGGGGGAATAAAAGGCGGGTTTTTAAGACCAGCAATGAATGAGATACGATATGCAGATATGAATTTTCCTCCGTTGATGTCATACGTTTTATCTCGAGTGCAGAAAAGGGTCAAAGGATATACACATGTCATAAATCATCGTCGGAGAAAGAAGAAGTGCAACTGTATCGCGGGATTTGCTTGCATGGAAATTCAATTTTACCAGTTAAAACATCCGAAACTTCCATTTGAAAATCCCCTTTTTGCTTTAATATGAACTTGATTTTCTCTAATGATGCTTGTAGCAAATGGGCATTTGTACGCCGAAATAATAATAATGCGCCTGATAACATTTTGTTGTCATATACGTATTAAGCGCTTTACATTCTGACGAGATGTAATGAAGACGTTTTGTTCTGTCAAATCAATACATTTCTTAAAATTCAGATATTTCTTATTCATAAATTCCCCTGTCACTATTAATAATTTACAGGAAAAATTGATAGGCTGTCAGCATTTATTTCTGATTTGCATGTAAGCTTTTGGTTAGATAATAATTGGGCCTACATGTATGTTTCACAACACGTCAGGTTTGAAATAGTCCTTCATGACCTATCTCTCCTCTTCCCTTGCTCAAAATATACTATTTAAAAAGAATTTGTTTCTGTCCCTATCCACTCCATCCAACACACCAGAAGATATTATTTTTGTCTGTGTCTTAAGCATTAATATGTGATTGACATCTTCAAACTTTTCTCTCGGTTCTGAGTATCAAGCGCGATCTGGATTACACGTGTATTTATAGCATTTCCGAAAGATATGCGAAACTGAGGGGCCGATATCTATGCATAGATATCATAGATATATTCATGTGATGCCCAGCCCACCTGTCGACCTTCACTATCTACCTGAAGAGGCGTGATTACACATGTAGTCAACAGGTGTGTGGTGTAAGGAGATGATTTGCTTCACAGAAATCCCAGGCTAATCTTAATGTCAGCTATATCAATTTCCCACCTTGTACTAACTTACTTTTGTTAAATTTGTTCTCAATTTAATCCCCACAAAAGGGAGGGAGCGAATATACACAATGCCATGTAAGTAAGTATATAGGTAACAAATAAGATATTTAATCCACGTAGCTCATTTGTTTGGGGAACTTCGATTGTCAAAAGTATTCATTTTAACATTTAAAAAGTAAAATTAATAATTTAAAAGGTACCCGGAGGATAGTCCCGATCGTCACAGTGTTACAGTTTGTGATTCAAAGGTGACATAATAGATGTATGTTATAGAATTGGAAATAACGATCTTAGTCATGCTGAGTTTCACCATCTCCCAATTTTGAAATGTCATGAATTTTTTTTCTAATATACTTTTGAATCTATCATAGTTTCATATATTCTGTACATTTTTAATGCTAATGAACATGCATTTAACAATGAAGGGGTGGAGAACCCTTTATCTTCTATAATATTGCATCTGTTATCTTTATAAAAATATATACAACTGTATAATGTTATGATGATGTAAATAAAAGTAAATTTGATTTTGAATAAAAATGGTCTTAAATTAAAAAAAGGAAGATAATTATTGAATCATCATTCTCGCTTGAGTATTGCGCCAACTCCATCCAGCCTTGCACCGTTACCTCTAATTACCTCGCTAATCATAATAATTCATTTAAGATGACTTATGAGATATCATTAACTTATTTTTGTTAATACTATTGCTAACCGTTATCTTCTATGAATAATATGATTAATCACCTAAGGTCACTGGTGCAAGGCTGGATGGAGTTGGTGCAAGGATAATAATAATAATAATAATAATAATAATAATAATACTCAGTTTTTATATAGCGCTTATTAGAATCACTAAGCGCTTCCAAACTTGGAGATTATTACCCGGGTTTAGCTGTGCTGCCATTACGGCGCTCTAGCATTTCAAAGAATTAATTCCTGCCAGGTACCCATTTACATCACCTTGGTTGAGTGTGGCGAATGTAGATCAATGTCTTGCCAAAGGACATTAGTGCCGCGGTGGGACTCGAACCGCGGACCTTGTGATCGACAGTCCGGCGACTTAACCACTCGACCATGGCACCTCTGAAGTGAGAATGATTATTTTCTAATGAACCAAACAAATACTAGGTCACTGTTGTTATGTTCGGTGGAGTTTAATCAAATTGCATGATTAGGGGATGATTACTTTCGGAGAAACACTTGACATCTATATTGTTCTAGATCAAGATCTGACATCAAGAAATAGCACCATCCTTTTAACAGCCAGAGTTTTATCAACAAATATATTTCAGCCTCACAATAATCGTGGTAGAATGTGCGAGAGAGCACGTGCCACGTGCAACCTCTGCACGCCCGTCATGATTACAGGGGATGTACATTGAAATTCTTTCGTGATAAAGTAAAAGACAACAGTATGAGAAATAAACGTCTGAAAATGAAAACGGTTGTTGTGGCCGTTTGCCTTATCTATCTGACATTTGTACATGATGATTCTTGAAGTACACCTTCTCGGGAAATTTGAAACCAAATGCCACAGCAACACGCGTATTTGTCACTTTGTAACTTCAAGGTCACGTGACATTCTCCTAATCTTACCTAATTTGGAGATGGTATATATAAACACAGATTATTAGTTGCCTGTTAAATTGTTCTGATCAATATCATATTTTGTTCAATGTTATTTCGGTTTATTGACTTTCTTTTGTAGAAACTGCATCTTGAACGAAGAAGGAATAAAATCGACAAGCAAAAAAAAAAAAGAAAGAAAAAGTAAACAAAATGAAAACGAAAAAATACATGAATTAAAAGTCTTGCAATAGCATTTTTTACTTCTTTTTTTTGTAGCGTAACATAATTATTCAAGCAAATTCGTGAACAGCGGGACAAATTAAATTGCTATTAAAAATATAATTTTAAATTAATAGTGGTCCTACAAATAAATGCATGGCTCCGGCCGGCTGTCGATATAATAGTTTGTTTTTGTTTCCTTTTTTTTTACGATGGGGGTGGGGGTGGGGGGGGGGTCTACTCTTGTCTCAATCTGTATCGACTTTATACTTCCTTCTTCCTTTCCCTTTCCTTTTCCCATTGTACAGGCATAATCTGAAACTGTCACGGATGACCAGTTCACAATTGTCTGGTGTGACTCATAATTAACACGCTTGAATCGAGACGGCCAATCGAATATATAGATAAATCGATATTATTAACTGGTAGAAATTTTTCGTTATTCCGAAGGGAGCATTTATCCATTTCGTTCTAAGAGAAACCGGTGTCATGACTTCGGGTCCTCATCAATTCACAAGTGTAGCTGCCAATATGGTTGTTTATACATCTATGTGTGTATTTTTCACATAAATTGTGTGGCAGAGTGGTTGAATTAGTGATCAAGAAACATGCAGGACCTGGGTTCGAGGCCATGTCGGTGCTATGTTAGCCCCGGCCCCCCCCCCCCACTCAGTGTTATTTAGGGTACGCATATGCGTATTCCAACCGACCCCCCCTCCCTTTTCAGCAAAAGTCCGGTGTGTAAAGTCAATACGGCTCGACCTTTTTCTTTTGTATACAAGCCTTTTTCAGCACCCCCCCCCCCCTTTCAGCAAAAGCCCGGTGTGTAAAGTCAATACGGGTCGACCTTTTTCTTTTGTTACGAAAAGGACATTTTGGCAACACGCATGGGGTCCGTCCGTTCTCGGAGTGGGGGGGGGGGGGGGGGGGGGATGTTAGCATAACATTGTATAGCCGGCGGGCCCTATCCTTCCCTGCAATTACATATTTTTTGCAACCGTGTCAAAAATGTGAATTGAAATAAATTTGGACAAACAAAAATAAAGTTCTATCCCAGAAATGTCCGGACTGTATCATATCTCAGATATATTTTGATTTAATTATATCAACTGCCTCATATTAGTTTTCTGTTACTTATCGCTTCGATATTGGCCTGCGCAATTAATTTATCATAGGAGAGTTTATTTCATTATTATGCCAATCGATGTATATTTGATTAATAATGGCAAATTCTCTAAAAGGCTTATGATTTGGATTACCAAAATGTCAAGTGAAGCATTCAGTTTTTGTGTATCTGACTCGCTCCATCACTTCATCAGTTACTCCACAAAGCATATCCCCCCCCATAGACCCAGTCCTTTCACATTTGAAGGCAGGATTATCAGTACAAATTCCTATCCATGCACAGCAGTCTAGAATCAAAATTGCGGAAGACGGGGTGATATTTAACCTTGTCATCAATAATTGATGAACTGAGGTCAATCATCAATATCCTTTAAATATCGATAGAAATGTGGATTAACGAATGTAAATACTGTATGGAGAAGAATTTAGGATTAAATGGATTAATCTCCTGATGTTTCTATCGTTCGATGTCTCGAATTGCAAATTGATTTGACCAAGGAGTAAGCTCCTTGCTTTGGCCCTATCTCTTCAGCGTTCCACACCTGAGTGATCTAGCGGAGACTGTGGGCTCCTAGAAAGAAGTTTTCCCCTCGGTAGCTTCGACGGAATTCTCACTAAGCTTTCCTATTGGCCAGTACGCACAAAGAGTTACAAAGACTGTTGTAGCATACGTCATGAGTATAACGGTAGACGACGCATGCGTAGAAGTAGCGATACAGTCATCCTGTCAGAGGTTTTTTCTCTCGTTCCGTATCTCCCCCACAACCGAACGCTCACCACGGCGTACGCACACCAGATTAGTCCGTCGTGCGATTCGTATAAAAGTGTGGGTACTTTCAGTGCGATTTGCAGAACCCTACTTTGACACTCATCAAAAAGTACCGGTACACTATGCTACGAAAGCCGCTCAGTCATTTCTTATGGGACCATACTATAATCATCATCCTTACTTCGTAACAAAGTGATTAAACGAAACAACCAAACAAATCAAAGAGTATTGCTTACTTTCTGGAAGTCTTTTTGGGTGAACATTTTGCAGCTTCATTCGTGCTCACATGGTGGAACCTTACTGACTTTTTTCTTCTTCTCGTTCGCTGTTTGGAATATTAATCGAGGATGGAGTCACTTGGTAAGTAAAAATGACTTTTACAGACTTTCGTAGAGGCATTGATGATGGATGGATGGTGATTTACGGGAGTTACTGGGGAGGGTTTGTGGTCGAGTTTTTTGTTCTCTGACAATTAGGCTCTTGTTTCAGTCAGATGCTGATTTGAAGTTGAACAATGATCAATCGAATTGTATTGCGAAGTTCTTTGACAAATTGTACATTGGAAAAGCACTTGCACATGTAATATTCGTTATCAGTTATTGGTATTTCAGATTTTCAGAGACTAACGAGTTTAATGTGTGAAAGTCTAACCATGGATTTTACAAGCACATGGTCTAACATTTTGAGCGTACATTATGCCTTTTAATTCGAAAAGAGAGAAAAATGGCAAAAAAAGAAGTTTGTGAATAACACCCCGTGTGCGATACAAAGTCATTATGTCTATACCATGTGTACCTTACGATAAACCACATAATGATTGATCTTACATTACTTGAACAACTACAAACATTTAATTGTTGTGTGTAAAAGCATGCAATTAAACTCTCAATTCCATATTAAGCCACTTTAGTCTTGTTTTATTATAACTTGTCAATAATTTATGAATTATTATTGTTGTTATTCCCAGTGTCGAAATGGCGAAATGTCGTGAGTAAAGCGATCGACGGTGACAATTATAACAATCAAAATGAATGTATGGGAAGTAATTTTTCATCTTGTGTTATGTCTGACTTGTTCAAATGGAACATATTCATTCTGTCACAGTACCCTTCATTCTTGGAGAGAAAACCCTAACTAGTCTATGGTAATGCCATCGATAAAGATAGCAGAACAAGAAAGGACATTGCATTTGTGATGTTATTACACGTGTCCATGTGGATGCGGACATTTCCGCTTTGTTTCAAACTTCGATTGGCAATCACCAGAGTTTTTTTTTCGTGGACAAGATAATCATTAGTCTCGCTTTTGTGTTACCACCATCGTAATACTATACTAAATGTACAGCTATCAACCGCTCTTGCCTCTTATTGAAGATTTTCCAACTTTCCAATGAAACCAGTCGTATCGTATTTATTATCATCATCACCCATTTCCATCGTCAAGATCACGATGGGCAACTCTTAGACTTTATAAAGTTCAGCTCTCGCAATTCAGCCGAGAATTGATGAGAAATATCGAGGTGCGCTCGCAAACGGGGTCTCGATCGCGATAGGATGTTTAGGTGTTATAAAAGAGAGGGGGACCTGGCACGAGTTCAGCTCAAAACGACGTTATTAATAATTTCCAAGGTCGGCACCATCAGATCGTGAATTGACAACTTTGGACCAGCCTGAAGACTTATTCGACACGGCTGTATTGAGTTATACCTGTCTAATTCGCTCAGGCCTGTTCTCTTCACTCTCTCTAGCTCTCACATATCCTCTCTCTTTCTCTCCCTATTTCTTTCTCTCTCTCTCTCTCTCTCCCTCTCTATCTCTCTTATATACATATTATATAAAAAAATATATATATATAAATAGATCTTTCGTCGCATGCTCCTTAAAAAGTACTTTAATGTACTCTTTGATATATATTTGTATGTCTAAGTTTACTTTTTATTAACACTATCTAGATTCTAACTATTAATCATAAGAAGTGAAATTTTTAATGTAAACATGTCTACCAACACACAGACATAATTCATTTGTATAAAAATATGTTTATACCTCTGCCTAAAATAGATTATATAGAGAATCATGCAGAGTGCAACGTCGGTTCATGGGCGTGTGAATTGTTTTTGCATTTTGTCCACACGTTATGGGCAGTTCCCAGATCTTTCTGTGACTCCTCAATGACCTTAATTTGATAATTTCTCTTCGACGCGAAGCATCTTGCAAGTTGACTTATACAAGTACACATAGCCATTTTCTTCATTTTATCCAACGAGTGACATATTTCCTTATACCGCCAGAGTTCCGTGATAATTCGGTCACCGTCACGATTGGCTGTGTGAAACCCTCCCCGACTCAAACGGCATTGTTTACATCATCTCCTTTCCAATAATTCTCCGAGGCATTTTGACACATGAGTTTTCTTTTTTTCCTGCGGAACTCGGAAATCATAAACCGTTTGTCTAACCTGGCATTTATTAGATCTGTCGATTGCGGGTTTTGATTAGTTTGTAGGACTTGTCGTTGTACTGAGTTCCCTCTTCTTTCTTCCCCTTTTTGACAAGTCATTTATTTTTCACTTTCGCTGAAATATCGACCGAGTGAGTGTGTGAATCTTTCACATAATATACTTTTGTTACTCTTGTCTATCCATGTTTACATACAATTTTATTTCACTTCCTTGCCAACTTTTTAGGAGCTACCGAATTGTCTTCATTGTGTTTATTTGAGTTGTCTTTCATATGGCATAATACTACAAACATTACTTGCAGACGATAGGAAAAAGTACCTAAGGCTGAAGACCGCTTCTTGGAAAACTAAAGAGAAAGTGATTTCAATATAAATCTATTCCGTTTTGCCTTCATCTTCTATTTTTGTTCATAGAATATATCTTCTATTTCTCGTGATATTTTAGCACTGAAACGGCAATGTTTATTTAGTCATTCCGTTTCGAATTTCCGTATGACAAGAACAAAATTTTAACGGTCCTATAAGCAATATAACATAACATTTAAAAAAGCAAGATATTATTGATAAATGTTTCCTGTAACAACGGATGTGGTGAACTGTTGTTCCCATGTTAGAAGACAATGGGGTCCATGATTACAACCTGACAATTATATGCCAATAAAATTACGATTCAAGTAATGAGACCGTATATAACGAAGTTCAATTACTTTGTAACGGGGGAATTGATCTTCTGCACCGTCTATTCCTATGGATCGATAGTCACTATAAACATGATCAATCCATTTTATTTTCTTTTCAATTAGCAGTTTTCTTAATAGTTGTAATCAATTAATGAATTGATTTTATTTCACCAATACTCTGAGGGGATTGCTCTTTGTGTCTTATGTAATACCTTTTAATTTGGTATACGCGATAACCCCAAATCATTAGATTTAGAGAAGGATTGGACTGTAGTAGCAGACTCGCGCCTTCAGTCAACGATTGACTCTTGGAAACTGGAAGATCTCCCGACATACGCTCCTACTTTTAATACACGAGGTGATATCGCTTCTCCTGGCCCGAACTTGACATCGGCATATCATCACGTCGGCATTGTTCCTTTTTTCTTCGCTGACACCCCATTGTTCTAAAACGATCGGAAAAAAAGAATGTATCGCAAGATTCTGGCATTCCATCCCTAAGAACAACTAGGGTTGAAACTTGGTTCATTACGTGCCTGACATGATTTTCGACGGAGTTCGCTCTGTGTCTTTTCTGACTGGCTGTGCGCGCTCTGTTTTCTGACTGTCAAACAAAAACTAACTGTAATAAAAAAAAAACAATCAAGTGTTCGCCGGGGCTCCAGAAACTCCAGAAGATTCATGGCCCATTAGAGGTTCAGCGAGATGTTTATTTTCTTTCCCCACTTGTGTGCTTATTTAACGTACATCAATGTGAGCATTCGTTGCTACACGTATGTGATCGTATCCAAGAATGACGTCAAGTACTGTGGGAAAAATATTGGGGAAAATATTGAGAGCTGTTGCACAGTGTAGCCTGTAGGCCTAAAACGTTGATGTAACACTTATGCTCGATATGACAATATTGAAAAAGTTCGATCCACTCGATGACTAATGATACCTCCCCCATCATGAAGAGTTGAAACATGAATTTGGCAAAGACGTTAGGCCTGTCTCTTTTGATGGGAATTTGTCGCAAGCTTCCCCATTTCAAATGTACTGTCAATAAATGTTATAGTCACTTTTTTGTACATCCATGCAGTGACTCGAGTCCCTTGCGAAAATAGCGGGATGGATATTGGCAGATGCCATCGTGAAATCATCTGGTTTGCATTGGGACCAGTCTGGCCCAGAAATAAGTGACATTTCAAACTTTTCCCAGACAATGGAAGAACAAAATGTGTTTCAAGGTCAAAGGGAATGACTGCAAAACTCGTCATTTTCTAATTTCATGTCACGAATATGCCAAAAGCATATGTTCTCCGACAAACGAGCAAGAGCAGTCGTACCATCACGAACAACGCCAGTGGGCCGTCACCCGTGCCCGCTCTTGTTGTATGACGGTCCTCTTTTAACCCGCATACGAAGCGGGAAAAAAGCATTTATAGGGAGGGCGAATGGGTGGAAACGGGTCCGTTTGCAATTATGTATTGTTGCAGCTTTTAAACATAATTTGCATGTATTTTTTTTACCCTACTTCTTCTCGTGGATATACTTTTGTTCTTTAATTCCCAATTTTCCGACTTAAGGTGAATAAGAAACGAATAAGTTGACGACTAGTGCTAATTATACCGTCTTTTATTGGACCAAAGTTCAAAGTAGCTTTGATATCCATGCATCCGTGTCTCTGAAATAGATTCTTCGGAACCCCTGATAAAGTATTTTAACTGCAAAAACAATAATGAGAAAGAAATAGTGACTCATTGAAGCGTCTACGAATACAGTCTAGGCCTATCTGCACTTTTCACAGCTATATACATTTACAAATTGGTGATATACCAGTGGGCGAAATGAGACCGTTTGGTTTTTAGCTTGGACGTTGTCTGGGTTCTCTGGTAGACTCGCTTTATTGGGCAACATGATGGTGCTACGAGAAAGGTTTGGTATCATGGCGTCTGGTTTGGTCATTGGTGTAATCGGACTGACTCACGTCATTGATACAGCATGCACCCTGAACTCTATATACCAGGGAATGGGATTCGCAGGTGAAACGTTTCGATTTGATCCCATTCATGTGTGTCATTCAGTCAAGAAGTATTGAAGAGTTCCATTTAGGGTTATGATTTCGACAATTAGGAGTAGACCCAATTACATGTAGGTCCACGTCTGATTTTATCATAAAAATCAACTTATAGTTATACTTTATAGCTATTCAAGATTTGTTTGTTCAAATCTTCCCTTT